TGCATTGCAGTAAGATTAAAAATACTCAATAATGTAGGTGAATTTAAATAAAGTTAAAAGTTTATCTTCAAATAAAACTGGATTTAATTAGAAAAGGAGATAATTTTTTAGAGAGTTAATAGGGGCATATGTAATTATAAATGTATTGTAATACAATAATATGTGGGACTAAGTAGAAATCAAGTATAATAAAAATTTATCAAATACAATTGAATTCAACCTTTTATTTAAGTCCATATTATACATGTTAATTTGATGTGTAAAATGCACATGATTAGTTAATTTGTTAACACGTTATATATCAGAAAAATCTCTATGTTAGGATATCTACCTGTCAATATTTCACCAATAGAAATTTAATTTCCTCTTTTTTGTCCTTACAAAATTAGACGGAGTCAAGAATGTGTAGTATTTATTCTTAATTTTTTGATTGAAGTTAAATCTTCCATCTTCTACAATTTGCAAATTAATACATTTAATATATATTGCAACACATCGATTGAGGAATTCTTCTACATAGTGTTCTGAAACTCGATCTGGGGTGTCACCCAGCCAAGGGGTCGAGTCCCGGGTTGATCGGTCCTGGTGGTCTAACTGGTGATCCAGCATGTTTGAAATCTTGCAAACACACCCCTGATAATATTATCAGTCCATGCATGTTTGAAATCTAGCAAACACACCCTGTGACCTGACTATACAGTTAGGGTTTAGATTTTCTCGGCCAAATTCTGGCTGATTCCGATGACCAAAATTCAATTTGACATCACCACCTGAACCACCTGCCTCCACTCTACAAAACCCCTCTAACCCCAACATTTGGTAGCCCTCCGTTCACAAGCCGTGACTCACGTATTGATTTTTTTGACAAAATTTTGGCTGATTTTGGCGATGAAAATTCAACCTGATCACATCGCCATCTGAAACACCGATCTCTACTCTATAAAACCCCTTTAACCATTTGTTAGCCCCCCATTCGTTGGTCGTGACTCGCGCATTGGGTTGATTTTTCCAGCCAAATTCCAGCTGATTCCGACACCCAAAATTCAATCCGACACCACTCTTTAAACCACTAGCCTCCACTCTACAAAACCCCTTTAACCTCAACACTTAGTAGACTCTCGTTTGCCGGCGGTCAGGTTAGGAATTTTTGGAACAGTTGAAAATGGTAACCTGGCTAGGAGAATGCCTCGGGTTCTAGTTTGACCGATTAAATCGGTCGAGCTGGTCCGGGTTTCAGAACATTACTTTTACGTATATCAACTCATAAAAAGATTACAAGTGAAGTCAGTTTACTCAATCAATTGCAAATTATTAAAACAAGCTCCAATTAGGCAAACAATAATTAATCATATATGCAATTAATTTTTAGTTTATTATATAGTCAATTGTATTAGCTATCCACATTCCTTTGGTAGATGGGCTCATGAATTATAGTTATTTATTTATTTTTGAATCTCAATAGTTAACAAGCAGTGCGTCTTTAATCTCCTTCATTAGCGTATGATGCAGACAAAGATATAGATCTTAAATAAATCTTTTCTTAATTAGGTTTAATTAGGTAGAATTGTTTCTTCAAGGCTTTTTCTTTGGATTTAATAATTTTAATTAAATTAAGAAACAGTCAACATATATATATTATTGATAATCCACATTTATTAAACAACTTGTCTGCAATTAATAATTAATTAACTCAATGGCTATATGTTATTTATATAAAATGAGGGCTATCTATATATAAAACAGAACATACTGCATTTCTTCAACTACACATTCTGTGGTGTGTGTCAAGTATGCCATCCTGCATTTAAGAAAGCATGAAACAAAATAAAAAAGTAAAAAGAAAAGAAAGAAAATGAAGAGTCTCATTTAAGAGCATCTCTAAATGACTGTTTATATGACCTAAACTTTTTATTATAAAGAGTCTATAGATAAAAACAAAAGTCTAATAGACTCTTTATCTTTAAAATATAAATTAGAGAGTGAGTTTGACTCTCCACATTTAGAGAGTCAAATTTCACTCTCTATCCTAATTTTAATTAAGAATAATACTACACATACATCATTCTCATACAACATTTCTCATATAACATTATGTGGCAATATATGATTGGGTGAAAGTTTAATTTTAACTTTAAATTAGCCAATCATATCTTGCCACATAATGTTGTATAAGAAATGTTGTATGAAAATGATGTATGTGTAGTATTACTCTTTAATTAATAAACTATAAGTTCATATGTATTTTATTTATTAATTCTCTCTTCTATTAAATCTCTTTCTTAAAAATAAAGAGTATATTTATTAAATTTAAGGAGTCTATTGGATTTGAATAAAAATTGTGTTCTTTATATTTAAAAATTAATGAAGATACTCTTTATTTATATGAAACATGCTCTTCAAAATAAAAGACACCATTAGAGATGCTCTAAGAGCATCTCCAAATGACTATTTATATGACTTAAACTCTTTATTATAAAGAGTTAATCTATAAAAACAAGAGTCCAACAGACTCTTTATTCTTTAAATATAAATTAAAGAGTGAGTTTGACTCTTCACATCTAAAGAGTCAAATTTTACTCCCTATCCTAATTTTAATTAATAAATTATATGTTTTTATGCATTTTGTTTATTAATTCTCTCTCCTATTAAATATCTTTCTTGAAAATAAAGAGTATTTTTATTAAATTTAAAGAGTGTATTGAATTTGAATAAAAAAATTGTTCTTTATATTTAAAAATTAATTAAGATATTATTTATTTATATGAAATATGCCGTTTAAAATAAAGGTAGCTAATCGTCTTTGTCACTATTTTTCTCTTTTACTTCTGATTATATGTTTATAAATTTGAATTTTCTTAAGTTGATAAAAATATAGAATATGAAAACTAGACCAATTAGTAATTATTGAATACAAATTTTGTTAGTACAATAGATTATTGAAAATTAAGATATAAATAATGTTGGAAAATACTATACTTATTGAATTTGTAGACTGACTCCTCTTTCCTATTGACATGGAGTACTATGCCGACTACGTCGCACTCCACGTCAATTGGGATAGAGAGTTGATATGCAGAATCAATAAGTGTAGTCTTGCTCAATAATGTTTATCAATAAATACTATTCATATTTATTTCACGTTACAGGTATCGTATTCTATATTAGTACGAATTTATGATTAACACCATCACTTTTAATTGCATTGAATATCACATTAGGGTTCTTCCTTCAATATTATTATCTACATTTACTTTCCCATTACCAATACTAATTAAATTGACCTTGTGCATGAAATCTAGAGTTGGGTTTCTAGAATGTCAAAGTTTAGGAAACACGTGGAAATAATTAATATAATAATAATAATAATAATAAAATAGTTGTTAAGGAAAGGAAATGTAAAGAGTAAAGATGAGTTTCTAGAAACCCCAAGTACTGTAGTAAAGATGAAGATGAGATATAGCAGAGATTTTAGTTCTTGTTAGGATTGAAAGTAACGGAAGGTTTGAACTTTTGAGGACAAAGTGGTTTAAGAAAAAAGTTCCAACTGAAATGCTTACCAAAAGATACAGTCGTGCGGGTTGGTGACCATTTTAACCACTCCTCGTAATCTTTCTCCATCCATCCTAATTATTTTATTACGTACAACATCAGCAGCTATGAAATTAAGATCAAATATTCTATCTGTGCCAGCTATTATCGGATGCTTCTACCTTATATCCATCTTGACATCTCCTGGACCTGTAATTTCCATTGTTTACTGTTGATACCAGTAAGAAAAAACCAGTAAAATTTTAAAATTTTGATCAATGTAAAAAATACTGGTAGATAATATCGGTAAATGATCTGTAGATACTCTATATCTTACGAGTTTTGAAGTTAAAAAGAATACACATATATGTATTTCTGTGTACATATGTTGTATCGAATACTTTCTCGACCAACAAGTATTCATTCTTATCGCATATAGAATAAGTCATATCAGCCTTTCTTGATCATGAATTTTATTAACAAATCTAGCTATAAACTGTCAAATCAAATACTAAAAGGATTAGTATATCTGTATTAATTCTATATTAACTATCATTGCACTGAATAATATGGATGTTCATGTTGACGAAATAAACTATACCACAAGAAACAATCATATATAAGACCATACTTTTAGTTTTAGTTTCACACATGCACAGAAGAGACAAAGAGATGGATGACGATAGATTAGCCAAGTGCCATTAATTTATTGAAGGAAAATGTTGTTAATTAAGAAGATGTTCCCATTGGACTCTTTAGGGTTTGGTGGGTAGAAATGGGTGAAGGTGGTTGGACAGGATCATAGAAGAGATAATACGTTTCAATTTTTGGTGTAAACAAGACTCAACCCTCGTGCGCCAATTTTTGCCACTCATTTTTCGCTAAATATTTCATCAAATTTTCGAGAAAAGTCTTTGGGAAGATTAAGATGATTACATCGTATTATAAGTATATTTATATATATATAAAAAAAACTTAAATCATATTTAAATTAATAACGTGAATGCTGTCAACTTAAGACTTTTTCACCTCATCAAGTAATTAATTAACTTATCAAAACTTGAAAACAAAGTTTTTGCCACTTATTGTCCGCAAAATATTTGATCAAAACACTCAGAAAAAGTCTTTGATAAGACGATTATATTTGTTATATCTAATAAATATACAAAAAGATTTTATTATATAGAGTTTATTATCGAGTTAGTTAACTTACCAAAGATGTTAATGTGAATGCCTCGATGCTTAAGGTGAATGGTTTTTTTGGTAATATTTCTGAAATCCTAGAGAAAATTTGGCAAAGGGAAAAATTCAGCTGATGCACAGTAGTGGCATTTTGGTAAGTTAAACAACTAAGAATATCAATATTTTCAATGAACCATCTTTGTCAAAGTGTTAGCTGTAATTATCAGGATTAAAAAAAGACTAACCCATAGCTGCAGCTTCTTCTTCAAGGTTGATTTGAGTTATACAACAGAAAGTACACACCACCATTAATACCTCATCCATCTTAGCTTGTTGATTTTGCAAAAGCCTATTATTTTTAAGCATCGTCCGTAATTGGGATTCTGGTTACTTTTCTCCTTCCAGAATTCCGAGTCTATTTTGTCGAAAAAAATGGAGGAAAATCTCCCTCCTGGGTTTAGATTCCATCCTACAGATGAAGAACTCATTACTTATTATCTAACAAGAAAAGTTTCTGATGTCAGTTTCACCTCCAAAGCAATTGTAGATGTTGATCTCAACAAATGTGAACCTTGGGACCTTCCAGGTAGCTATAGCTATAGCTTAAATCTTCATTCTTCCTCAGAATTTTTCTGTCTTTAATTTATTGTTTGAATATGGTTGATTTATGTGGTTTAACCTCCTGAATTCTGATGTTTTACATCTGTTTCCGTTATAGGATCGACTTCGTTTCATGTTCTTAGCAAACTGTGGAATTTTATACCCTTGAATTTCTTCTTAATTAGTAACAGTATTATTGTATTGAATATTAATTGTTTAGGTTTCATTCAACTTTTAAGCCAATGCTATGTTTCTTTTTCTCTTTCTTCTCAGTCTTTTTATCTTTTATTATTCTCTCTCTTGGGAAAAAGAGGAAATTCAAAAATACAATAAGTTTTCTTGAAATATCTGTTTCTGCAGATATGTTTTTCTAATTTTTTTGTAAAAATCTGCATTGCTAAAAATTAGCTTTTCCACGTTGATAAATTAATTGAATGTAATGAATATTAATATTGTATATAAATGAATATTTTGGATACGCTTTTATGAATAGTATATCAAGAACCAAAGAGTTTCCATTTGTTGTTTGGTGGTGCTGTTAATGTTGGGTGGCCAGAGACAGTGATTGACTGAGAATATATATTTGTAATATTGTTGCAGGCAAGGCTTCGATGGGGGAGAAAGAATGGTATTTCTTCAATATGAGAGACCGAAAATACCCTACCGGACTTCGAACCAATCGAGCCACTGTAGCCGGCTACTGGAAAACCACAGGGAAAGATAAAGAAATATTTCGGGGTGGAGTTCTTGTTGGAATGAAGAAAACCCTAGTTTTTTACAAGGGTAGAGCTCCCAAGGGTGAGAAAAGCAATTGGGTTATGCATGAATACAGGCTAGAAAACAAACATCCTTTCAAATCCATTAAGGTATATCAACGTTTCACTTATATTAATATTTATAAATTTCTGCAAGAAAAATTTGAGAAAGTCATGTCAACTTTCGACACTTTCAAGAGAGAGAACCTATCTCCAAAGAGTAGAAATGAATTGAATTATCAAAGTACAATCTCCTCAATTATTCTCTAAAATTAAACATTATCATCTTCAAAATCCTACCTACAACCTTAAGATTAATGCTTTCAAGATATATGATAACCAATTATAAGACGAGTGTATGTCATATATGTTAACATGACACTTTATAATTGATTGGTTATATGTTTAATCTGATGTAAGAAATTTTATTTACCTATATTTCAAATTATATAGTTCCAATAGTTATTTGGTTAATCTTATATGGAATTTTTTGTGCTTATTCTTACAGGAGGAATGGGTAGTTTGTAGGATTTTCCAAAAGAGTAATTCATCAGCAGTGAAGAAACCCCAACAAGAACAATCCTCACAGCCATCTCTGGGATCTCCATGCGATACAAACTCAATGGTCAATGAGTTTGGAGACATCGATCAGTTACCAAATCTAAACACCATGGCAAATTTACCAAGTGGCTTCAATAGTAACATTCCAACTCAAAGTTACAACACTGACACTAATCTTAACATGAACATTCACAACTTAAACATGAATTGGGCTGCGGCAAGGGAAGCCGCCACAACTCTTCCATCACTGGCGTGGCCTTCAAGCTTGCTGAGCCCGAACTTGTCGATGAATTCCTTGCTTTTGAAGGCATTGCAACTGAGGAGTACTTATAATCAAGCGAGAGAAGCCACGAGTAGTGATCATAACTCGTTAATTCAGCCGCTGCCACAAGGGATTTCTAGGTTTGAATGTGATCATTTAAATTCGAATTTTCAAGCTTCTTCTTCTTCTAAGGTATTAGATAATTCTCTGCCGCAGCAATCACAGCCGGAGCAACCGTTTAATCTGGACTCCATTTGGTGAAAAAGAGAGAGCGAGTTGAACTAACATGCTGTTGTGTAAACTTCTTTTCTGTCAATCTTCTTCAACCGAGTGAAAACGGATTGATGTGACTCAAGATCGATCGTGCTAATTTGATTAAGCCTTTTTAATTTCAACAAAAAAACTAGAATAAATATTGTAATAATGTTGTAGTAAATAGATGTGTTTCAATCTTCTAGCTAGGTTTATTATTATGTCGTGCTGTTTATGTTCGATCAACTGTTAAATTGTAGTTGAATATCAAGAAGTACAGGGTCTGTATTTGGTTTACTGTTAATTATGTTCATATGCTCAATGTTAATTAAGATCTCAACAGAGGAAAAACCTTGTTGGGTATTTCGGTTTATTAGTCCAAAGATCGAATTGCATTCACTCTCTCTTATTTTGTCATTATAACATCAATGATATTATAATTATTAAGTTAGAATTCTAACATAATAATATATTACTTTCAACACATATTCTCGACATTTTGTTTGATAAATTCTTCCTCTTCCATTCTCATAATATATAAGAAACTTGTTTTTTTTCCTTAATTTCTCTCAAATTCTCGACATTTTCTTTGATAAATTCTTCTATACAAATTGACCTAACATAACGTGACGAAGAGATTAAACTTAATATGACTAATTAGTTTTCATATGAATAAATATAGAACAACTTTTTATTTATTTATTTATTATACAATGATTAGTATAAGAAATATTTAATACTCTTTAAAAATATTTTGTTTTAGTATTTTGGATATTATTTTTTATATTTTTAGAGTTTGGTGGAAATAACGAGATAAGATTTAAAAATTAACAATTACAAAAACACCTCAACCCATCAATTAAATTTCGACAGCTGACCATCATCGCCAGAGGGTGGTTGGAGTCGCCGTATTGGCGCACGACCGGCCAAATCCAGTTGGTTGTGCACTGAAATGGTTTTTTCCAGCCAGATCCATCGTGACTCTGGCCATATTTAGTCGTCAATGACGGCCAAAGATATAACCGTCGTTGATGGTCAATGACGACCAAAGATATGGTCGTCTTGACTATATCTTGGCCATCGTTGACGACCAGCTATGGCCAACGATCTGGCCGTGGTTCTGACCAGAAAATGATAGATCGACGCACTACTGGTCATATCCAATCAGTAGTCTAACCGTTTTTTGACGGTGGGGGTCAGAATCTGGTAAATGTGAGTGGGTGAGAGTGTTTTTATTAATTTTTAAACTTTTTGTTTTAGGGGTGTTTAGTTAAATTAATAAAATTAAGAGGTTTAAACGTAGTTGAAGAAAATATAATAATATTTTCAGAGGGAAACAATAGGTATTTTGAAAATAGTATGAAAATGATAGTTAAAAATATTTAAACAAATAGACCATGAATATTCGAAGCTATCAAATTGGTTGGGCCGGCAAGAGCCTAAATGGACTTGGCCCAATAAAATCCCAGATAAGCCCATTTCAGTTGGGGCTGTAAGAGTCCGAACCCGATTTACTGATCCGAGTCTACCAATTCGTAAAGACGCAAGTACGCAACACGATCTCGATTAAGTTCATCAAATCCCAATTAATCAGACCACTGTCTTTCACACTCGCTTTTTCAGACTCAGACAATGGCGGGAAAGCAAGTCGCCGGCGACGGACTACCGGCGAACTTCGCCGGAATGTCAAAGAACCAGCTCTACGAAATTATGTCTCAGATGAAGGCACACACCAACACTTTCTCTCTTTTCCACAATTTTCTTTTCCCCCAAACAGCACCTCAATATTAAACGTTAAAAAACGCTCCTAATGTTTTTGTTTTCGTTATTGTGTTTGGTGAATGTAGACTCTGATCGAACAGAACCAGCAACAAGCGAGGCAGATTCTAATTCAAAACCCTCTCTTGACGAAAGCTCTTTTTCAGGTTTCAATTATATTTTCGTTCTTTAAATTGCTTCCATATTTTGCGCTTTTAACGCCATATCAATTTGATTATTTTTTTTTTTTTAATCGTGTTTGCTTGTTAAGTGCTGCCTACTGTGTAAATTCTATTTTATTTGTTAGCGTGGAAATATTGTCTAATTAGGGTTTGGTTTGTGTTTTTAGTTTTTATTTTGATAAATTGTGTTATTTATTTCCTAAAATTTGAGATTATACTTGAATTTAAGGATTGGATATCGTGATAATTTTATTAGATTGCAAATATACTCTAGTCTGAAATTGAATTGGGAGGGGATGCAGTATGGATATTAACGTTACAAAGAAATTGTGCTAAAAGGAAGTGAAAAAATAAAATAAAATCAAGTCTTGTTTCTGGCCTATTGTTTGAGATTGAGGTTGACTATGCTATTCTAGTTTTCTTCAACCATGATCATCTGGTTGCATTATGGCATTTTACTTAATTTTTTAGTTTTTACCTTAGAACATGTTTCCAGACTTTTATCCAGTTTAGGTTCATTCTGGTTTTGAAGGTGCTCATTCTAGCAAAAGTGGTGGTTAGCTGGGTTGAATTTGTCTTCTATGAATGTGCTTATACTGGCCTTCATGTAATGGAGGTTCTATTGTTATTGTTTGATTGGATTCTTTTCATTCCCAAACCCAGCATTTCAGCTTTCAAGGAATGGACTGAGTCAATCTGGAGTTAGATGACAATTCTTTGAAGTGCCAAGTTTTACCAAGCAAATGCTTGTAGATATATTAGCAATGCCTTATCAAAGAAAAAAATTATTTTCCTGATGTCACGTAATAAGAAGAATGGCTGAGGGTGTATAGAGTTTATGCTTGCATAACCATTTCTTTCTGCTGAAGTTGTAAGTTTTTGTCCATTCATTTTCACTGATGGAGTGTTGCTGAGTGCTGGCAATAAATTGCATTTAAAAGAAGAAAAGAAAAAGAAGATAGTTGCATATTTGTAGGGATTTTCTTTGATCTGGGATGTCTTACTTATCTGATGGAACGTTTGTTATGAGAAAGTATTGTGAATTTTTTGGATGAAAATTTAGGCCTGGTAACCAGGTAACTATGGGATACTGAAAATGATGTAAGGAGATTTTGGCATGACTCATCTTTTTGCCATTGCAGTGCCTGTAGCCTTGTTTTTCAGATCATGGATGATATTTATTACCATGCTAATTAGTTGTTAATGATGCTCTATTTTTTTTTATTTTGGTGGAGAAGATGAAAATAATTTAAAACAGATTACTGATTGTTTAGTTGCTTTAAATATTACTTATTTTGATAAGGAATTGGTTTACATATTGACTTGGTTGTATTTAACTGGCAACGTGATTGATTGTTGACCAAAATTTCTGTGATTTTTGCTGTTTAACCAGGCACAAATTATGCTTGGCATGGTAAAGCCTCCTCAAGTGGTACGCTTTGGTCTTTATCTAATTTTTTCTCCACCAGTTTACATTGGTGCATCTGTGTGTTTCCTAAATTTCGTTGTGTTTAGGTTCCGAGCATCCAGCCACCGCCAGTGCAGCATTCTCAGCAATCAGCACAGCCACTTCAGCAGTCAAACATCCAGGCTACACACTCTTTGCCTAGTCAAGCTGGTTTGCTGGACCAAACAAGTGCATCTCAGACCCAAACTTCAATAAGAAAGCAACACCAGAACCAACCTGCTATGCCTATCTCATCTACATCTATTCCTGCTGTTAACCTTCAGCCTCAGCCAATGCATTCACATGCCGCACAGATGCCACAGCAGCCTAAGGGACATCTGAATCCTCCAGTGGCGCCAATGTCACTTCCACAATCCTCTCAAGTCTCAAATATGCCTCCACTTGCTCATCATTCTGCTTCACAGCCACCTTCACTTCATCAACCCCAAATGTCCACTGCCTCCAGCCAATTGCCACAACAATTACAGTCAACAGGACTTCCTCATCTTCCATTGCAACCACCATTGCCACCCCAACCAAGACCATCTTCAGTTCCATCTTTCCATCATCAATATGCGCCCCAAATGGGGCCCAATATGGGTTTCCAACACCCTGGTGCTCAAAATCATCCCTCACAATCTTCTATGTATCATGTAGGTTGAATATTTGTTAATAGTTATTTCAGGTGTATCACTTGTAAACTTATTTGGAATATTTTATTTTAAACTCTCCAGTCAGGTACCAAACCTCCATCAAGCATGGGGCTTTCATTCCAGCAGGGACAACCACCACTTCCAAGTCAACCGCCACCTCAATCATTGTATCAGGTATGTATGTGCTATTAGGTATCCTATATCAATTGATTCATTCTCCATGTGGTTGGTTAACTATGCTGAAAGTTTAGGTTTGCCAGGCTTTCTGACTGACTTTTGACAGTGGAGAAATATTTTAGTATAGTTACAATACATTGTTCTTTTAATTTTACATTTATGGGTATAATTATGACCCTTCTGTTATCTCTTTATGAATCATACTCTTTTGTTTTTTAGCAATTTTTTAAATAGCTAAAATCAGAAATGTGGACTGTAATTTTGCGATGGATAGAGTACAAACCTCTACTTTTATCCGATGTTTTTGATGCAATCAATAATTTTTCTTTTACTATTTTTATTGACTGTTGTGTTGTGACGTCTAGACTTAATAATTTTTTCAATTTGATTTAATTCATGACACTCAGATGACTATTGTACCTTGAAAATTTCTAATTTTTCTCGATGCTTAATAGGCTGGAGGTTCACATCTGGGGACAGAGTTTGGCAATCAAGTCGGAAATTCTATGAAAGTAGATAGAGGACCTTGGATGTCTGGTCCCTCAGACAATTCAGCAATGACGCAACTTCCAGGACCACCATCAGTAGTTCCGGGTCAGATGGGCCCAGGCAATCAACCTCCTCGACCTGCATCGGTAACTTATCTGAACTTTCAAATTTCATGTCAACCACTATTGATGCCACTAATTTCCATAATCAGCATTTTGATTTTTGTCCTGGTCAATGTGTAGTTGAGTCCTGAGATGGAGAAGGCACTACTTCAGCAGGTCATGAGCTTGACGCCGGAACAGATTAATCTCTTGCCCCCAGAGCAGAGAAGCCAAGTGCTTCAGCTACAGCAGATTCTACGCCAATGAAATTACTGCAATTCATTTGTTTGGAAAGAGTAGGACCTTTTTAAACTATACATTTTGCAAATTAGTTGTGGATGGCTGCCAGAAACGATCGTCTGAAGTAGATTGGATATTATATTCTAGAAAAATCACACCTCCACATTCCGAAGAAAGTTTTGTATTTGGTTGCTTTGTATTTCTGTCAATTCTGTATCATACCGTGATTTCTCAGATGATATTTTCTTTTAATCTCCTTCATATTCAATCCTGTTTTTAAGTCGCAATCAATTTATTTAGTTATGAAATTTGATCGGTTGCTTAGTGTAGTTTACTGTAGGCAGACCATTGAGTTCACAATTGCATAATATTTCTTGCTCTTACCATCTTTGAGTTCTCTGAATTATATTCAAGTTTAATTACTTTGTTTATTTATTTGTTTTTGGGTTTCATGGTTGCTTTCATTTATTTATTTTTTTAACTATCACCTGATTGTAAAGACTATTCTACCCTTTAAATGTTAAATTTAATGGAAATTTTAGTAACGGCGGGGGAGGTATTAGACGGTTTCCAATAATCGGTGCGTTGCTAATACTGTCTAATCTCTTAGGGGCCAGAAAAATTAAACCAAAAATAATTAAGGAAGTGTATTAAAATTTTAATCACTCTTTTTCATAAGAGAATCAAATTTCTCTACTAACCAAAATTTAATGGCAATTGCATTTAAATTTTAATCCCCTTGGATCACTAAACTGGGGTTTTTTAGTTTTATAAAATATTACCCTAAACAAAAGAAAAACTTTGATTTTATTTTTTTTAAAAAAAAAAATTAGTTTGTTTCGGGGTTACACACTTACACTCTATAAAAGTATAATCTTAAAACTATTATAAACATCCTCATTATTTGTTAAAGTCTGAATTTTGAATTTTATAGGATGGATGATTATAAATAGACCGTAAATTTAAATTTAATAACAATGACTCACGTGGTACTTTACAATCACGTTAATGTTATCAATATCATTTTAAATATTAAGGGATTTATTAAATTTAACCAAAAATAGGGAAATATAATAGACCTATAATGTTTTTGTAATATCCAAGTACCCTATGTTTTTTTTAAGAGAAAGAAACATCCCTATGGTTTATCAAGCAAGGCATTCAAAATTTAAATTTTAAAATAATTTTTGAAAGGTGCTTACACTATTATATAGAATGTATATGATAGTTTGAAAAATCACTGGAGTCAAGTGTAATTATTTAATAACAATAACATTTGAAATATGACCAAGTGGTCTCTATAAAAACCCACAGAGCTCTATAACGGATAACCATTTATTCTACAGGGTCAGTGGAAATCTCTCAGTGATTAAAGCACAAACCAAGGCTTCGTCTCTATTCTTTCTAATATCTGTTCTTATTTTTCGTCTTACTTCTTTCAAACTAGTGAATTTTGTGATTTTTTTTCTTTATTTTTTGGTTACATCAGTCNGTTCTCTGAATTATATTCAAGTTTAATTACTTTGTTTATTTATTTGTTTTTCGGTTTAATGGTTTTTTTTTTAATATTTTTTTTTTATTAACTATCACCTGATTGTAAAGACTATTCTACCCTTTAAATGTTAAATTTAATGGAAATTTTAGTAACGGCAGGGAGGTATTAGACGGTTTCCAATAATCGGTGCGTTGCTAATACTGTCTAATCTCTTAGGGGCCAGAAAAATTAAACCAAAAATAATTAAGGAAGTGTATTAAAATTTTAATCACTCTTTTTCATAAGAGAATCAAATTTCTCTACTAACCAAAATTTAATGGCAAATGCATTTAAATTTTAATCCCCTTGGATCACTAAAATGGGGTTTTTTAGTTTTATAAAATATTACCCTAAACAAAAGAAAAACTTTGATTTTATTTTTTTTAAAAAAAAAAATTAGTTTGTTTCGGGGTTACACACTTACACTCTATAAAAGTATAATCTTAAAACTATTATAAACATCCTCATTATTTGTTAAAGTCAGAATTTTGAATTTTATAGGATGGATGATTATAAATAGACAGTAAATTTAAATTTAATAACAATGACCCACGTGGTACTTTACAATTACGTTAATGTTATCGATATCATTTTAAATATTAAGTGATTTATTAAATTTAACCAAAAATAGGGAAATATAATAGACCTATAATGTTTTTGTAATATCCCAGTAGCCTATGTTTTTTTTAAGAGAAAGAAACATCCCTATGGTTTATCAAGCAAGGCATTCAAAATTTAAATTTTAAAATAATTTTTGAAAGGTGCTTAGACTATTATATAGAATGTATATGATAGTTTGAAAAATCACTGGAGCCAAGTGTAATTATAAAATAACAAAAACATTTGAAATATGACCAAGTGGTCTCTATAAAAACCCACAGAGCTCTATAACGGATAACCATTTATTCTACAGGGTCGGTGGAAATCTCTCAGTGATTAAAGCACAAACCAAGGCTTCGTCTCTATTCTTTCTAATATCTGTTCTTATTTTTCGTCTTACTTCTTTCAAACTAGTGAATTTTGTGATTTTTTTTCTTTATTTTTTGGTTACATCAGTCTTGATAATGTGGCATTTCAATTTCCTTGGATGATTTTCTAGGTTTTATATATTTTTATCTAATTTTTAGATTGTTACTTTTCCTATATATTTTCGTCTTATTTCTTTCAAACTAGTTAATTTTGTGATTTCTGTTCTTGATTTTGGTTTCAGTATTGATCATGTGGAATTTCAATTTTCTTGGATGATTTTCTAGGTTTTATATTTTTTTTTTGTTTAATTTTCTTCTATAATTTAATGCTATTTTATTGATTAAGAAACTTCTATTATATTATATATATTTTCTCTTCTTCTCGGTTTTTCTATTAATCTTTAAATATGCATTAAATTATAATCGCTGGGCTACTAACACTTGGTTGCGTATTCATTCTTTCATCATTCGAGTTATGGGGAGTTAAATCATCCAATGTCGGCTGGCTAGTGGATGTCAATGATGGGCCCATACCTGTACAAAGCAAATAAAAAGTCTAATTAAAATTTTGTTTGCTTTGTCAACTTTGTAAATCTTATTCTAATATTTTGAAATTATTTCTTTGATACCGCCAGGGTTGGTTAAACTATAATTCTTTGACTGCTAAACAAAAGCTTAATCAAGGCATTATTTTATGGCAATCAGGAAGCCGAATCAAAAGGTTTTCATAATATTAATTAATCACACAGCACACAGCACATACTACTCCCCACAAATCTACCACAAGACATTCAACCATCTCAGCAAGTCAGCATACACAACACACACAAATCCCAGCACACAGCACACACTACTCCCCACAAATCTACTACAATACAATCAACCATCCCAGCACACAGAAATCTCAGCACACAACACTAGTGATAAAAATTCTGCAAAATTAGGCACCAGTAGAGCCACCAGACTCACTCCCAATACAATCAACCATCTCAGCCACATGCAGTGGCGGACCCAGGATTTTTGCCCGGGGGGCCCCATGGCTCCACCATTGTTTGCCAATCAACTAATGAAAACACAAGAAAATAACATCCAATTCATAAGGAAGCACAAGAAATTTTTTACGTGGAAAAACCTCTTCAATGTGAAGAGATACAAAAAACCATAGGGATCTAACAATCCACTTAAATCCAATATAATCAAAAGAGTTTACAACAATCACAAATCCACCAAAAATATTTTACACAAATTTAGAGCTCAATCACAACTCTAACAAAAGTAAAATACACAAAGGTTTACAAAGAGATGGATTATAATCACTCCAAATCCATATCCAGAAATTAACATTCCAACTCAACCGTCTAGATTAAAAATCCACACATCCTCTACGTATTGACCCAAAAATCAAGTTAAAATGGTATACTTAAAGATCTAAATAATATGAATATTGATTATTGATTATTTAAAAATGAAAGCAAGCTAGAATAGTATACCCGAAGATCTTCAATTTAACACGATTTTCCGCTTCATTATGTTCTGAAAATGTTCAATGATATCTTCATTTTGAATTGTAGCAAAAACTTCATTTTCAATGTAAACTACTAAGCAATTGTTCATCCACTCATCTCCCATTCGATTACGCAAAGTATTTTTAACAAGATTCATTGCAGAGAACACCCTTTCAACTGTTGCAGTAGCCACGGGCAAAACCAATACTAATTTAATAAGCAAAAAAACTTTGTCGTAAGCAACATCCTTCTTAAACTCAACCATTTTTTTTTGCAAGATCAGCAATCCCATCAACATGAGTGAAACTGGCGTTGGTGCTAACATCCTCATAATAGTTTTCAAGTTGCTTATCAAGCAACCAAATATCGTGTTGAGGAAAATCGGCAGGATAGAACTTTGCAAACTCAAGTAATCTATCTTTGTTAAATGCAGCAAAAGAGTTACTTGGATCAAGAGATGCCATACACTGAAGCAACCTCATATCTACTTCATCAAAACGATTATTGAGTTCTTCTTGAATGTTATCTAAAACTGTGTATATTACTTTCACTTTAAAATGATGTTTATTCGTAATTGGCGCAATCCCCATTTTGTCCTCCCAAAATTATCTTCCATGTTCTCCGGGATTGGTATGTCATTATCTTTACACAGATCATAAGCTTCTTTCAACAATATGTCGAAGCAAGTGTCTTCATTTCTCAATTTATGCAATCAACGCTTCGAAATTTGTACAAACTGCATGGCATTAAGAAGATCTTGATCTTTTCTTTGTAATGCTTGTGACAGTTCATATGTGATCCCCAATTCATTAAGAATAACAAAAAGATGAATTCAAAATTCTCCATGATTCGTAATAAAGTCCTTGCTTGACTTTTGTTTTGCTAATCATCTCCTTCAATCTCAATCACTCCGAGCACACCAACAACAGAAGAAAATAAGTTTATGACACTATGAATTGTCCCTATGTGTGAACCCCAACATGTATCTACTGATCGTTTAATAGTGCATTCTTGATTCAAACCACGTCCCGTTTGAAGATCACCATTAGAAATGAAAAATTTCACATATTCATACTGTTTATCACGTAGAAGATCTCTACGCTTGCAAGATGTTGCTACAGTGTTTGTTAACATAGAAAGAGTTTAAAAAAATTCACCCAATGCCGAATGTTTACTTACGACTTTGACTAGCGCCAGTTGGAGTTGATGAGAGAAACAATGAACGTAGAAAGCTGATTTATTTTCTCTCAATATCAAAGTCT